CCCCAAAACCCCAAAACCCCAAAACCCCAAAACCCCTCTATTACACTCATATTGAAACCATTATCTAAATCTCTTCTATATCTCCAACCCTACACACTCTCACTACTCTCATCCCCTTCACTACTCCCACTACCTTCACTACTCTCCTGATAACCCCTCTGTTCAGTCTCACTTGAGTCTGTTTGTTCAGGCTTTAAAATTCCAGTGCCTGCTGAAGTCTTATCTCTATTTTCAAGTTCAATTTGGTCGCTGTCTAAATTTGAACTCTCAGATTCTTCTTTCTTGGTAGGAATAGAGGGGCTGAAGGAGAGGTAGGTTTTGTGTGGAGAGCGGGATTTTAGGTAGGGGGTTGGGATGTGTTTGGATTCTTCGAAGCTGGAGTCTTGTTCGATTATTTTGGCAAGTTTGGCCTTGAATGTGTCTATACGTACAAATCTCATTTCAAGACCTCGAAACCCCCCACTAATTCCTCTTTCACCCCAAAGCCCTGCCTAAGCAAACCTTATTGGCTTTGGAATTTAGAAGAAACTGGAAGAGAAGTAGAACAGTTCGGAGACTCAGTCGTTAAGAAATTTATGAGGTGAAGAAGAAGAGGATTTGAGTGGTGGAATTTTAGGGTGAAAATTACCTGCACGTGTTTTCTTAGGGGATTTAGAGTCTCTAAAGATTGGATTTGGTATTTTCTTGGGTGATTTGTGTTCTCTATAGGTTTTATGGGAATTTTTACTCTTCTTCGCTAGATTCATTGCTGATGATTAGGCGATTGTTGATTTCTAAATTTTAATAATCAGGAATACGCTGAGTTTTTGACCTTCTCTTGATCGAAGGTGTAGATTGGAGCATGCTAAATGATTTCAGTACTTTTGCATTTATTGATGTTATATTATTGTTTTTCATTGCGGAAGAATTCCTTATATCTATTTCAAAATCATCCCAAATGATATCCTTCTGCTTGAACTTATCTTGTTTCGTATACAAATCTAGTCTTTCAAAATTAATTTTCCCATCTTCACCAACAGGATTACTTGTGGCATAACTATATTGATGTTTCTGGATAGCAGACTCATATGTGTCTTTATCACTCCTATTGACTTCGTCTATCTTCATTATTTTCTCGATGTAACTGATTGGTAGCATTACGAAAATTCCAGCAATTAATAAAGGAACCCATGCGAAGAAGTTTTCTCCATCTGAAAGTCTAGTGAGAAAGTACCAAATGCTTCCTCCATTGACGAGAATTACCAAAATGAAGATATTTGTTGCACTGAAGTCTATAAAATGGCCTACTTCTTTTGGACGGTTGGTATGTTTCACCAGCATGTATTTCACCAGACAGTATTGATATAAAATTCCAAAGAAGCAAATTATCGGTAGAATTGGGAGTAAGACAGTATAAGTTGAACATACTAGAATAATCAAGAATGCTGAAGTATATCTATTCTCAAGACTTATCTGTTGAGCTTCAAAAAGTTCGTTAAATTCTCTCTGTGTTAACTTCGATTCCTCTCCCTTCTTAATTTCTCTCTTTCGCTTGCATACCTTGAGTAAATGATTTGGATCATAAAAGAAGAGTATAGGGCCGGCAAAGCATATCGACAGAGTATTGTAAAAGATGTCTGAAATTAATCCAGTGCTTGAAAACCAATACTTCTCATCATAGTTTACTCAGAGTGGGATTATAGCTGTGTTGATATACATTGCCACAATCATCTTCGATGCCAAGGAAAAAGTGTAAGGAGTATATGAGTCGTGCCTCTCGTACTCTGTTAAGATTTTAGCCAAAGCTTTGAGACTGATGTTAAAGAAACTTATCACCATCGCGTTCATAATATTGTATGCCATCAGGATTAGGGAATGTTGGATTTTAAAATTATGACCATTATCTTCAAATTTTCGCTCAAGGCTATCTTTGAAAAGCCCGAATATCAAATTTCAGCAGAAAGAAAAGATGAGCAAGGCTGCCATAGCTAGGAAGGACAGCAAGGATCTTTTGAAGCGTGTATTAGTCTCTATTGGTAAGTTCTCCCAGAATACATCAGTTGGTTCACCTGCTCTCTGAGTTTTAAATGTAAATTTTTTATTTCTATTTCTACCATAACAGCAGAGTAACTTTTTCCAAATGTAGCAGAAGATTCTCTTGGATGGTTTCACGTGCAGTCTTTTGTTAATTTTAGTGGCTACATTTTGGTTGTTAAATATGATGAATGCTTTGCCTCAAAACCCATTGTCTTCTCCCTCTTGAGCCTTGTATTTCTGTTCGTACTCATTGATCCTTTCTGTGAATCTTTCAATGATTGCTTGTCTCTCTTCCAGTGTTTTCTTCCTACGCTTGCAGCATAAGTAGCCTTTAGGACCAGGTTTTATATGTTTTACTTCTTGGGCTTTCTTTTTCTATAATTTCATCGTCTACCTTTATGGAAGAGTCAGAGTTCATAGAAACATTTTCAGGATTTCCACAAAGTTTTTCTTCCTTTAGTTGCATTTTTAATGCTTTCCTCTATAAAATTGGTCAAAAATTTGTAATTGGTTGTTCTAGATATTTGTGAGAAGGGGAATTTATGATTTGTATGCTATTATTGTTGGTTTTTGATAGTTAAATTTACGAAGGAGTGTGTATAAGTTACTATTTATTGGTATGTAATCAGAGGAAGTTTCTTGAGTAGATCAAACATACTCGATAAAAAGCTTTGACAGTATTTTCAATAAAATAACGGCTAGAAATCTCTGAGAAAGTCAATGAATTAGATATCATAAAAAGCTATATATCAAGATCTGCTTGACTGAATTTGAAGTATTTATTTCTAACCTTAGAGATGCCTTAAAAGCTAAAGTTTATACTTTGATAAGTGTTGATCAAAGCTAAAACATATTGGGTTTATATTAACCTCACCTCTTCACTTTTCTTCTTCCTCAACAGCCCCACTGGCTTCTCAATATCATATCACAGAACAACCCCTCCTAGTGCTCCTTCCGGTTCAATCCCTTCCTTCCTCAGTTGCTCCTCAATATGCTCCACAATCTCTTCCTTCTTCGTACTTTTCTTAATGTTCGTAGCGAAGAGGGTGAAGTCACTGGGCGTGATAGTCTCTTCATCGATTTTAGAAGCTTTTCTTAGGCTTAAACATCTGTAGATGCGGTAGCCGAGGAAGAGGATTAAGGTACAGACTATGTTTAGGGAGATTATAGCGGTGATGGAGGTGGATTTGGAGAAATCAGAGGCTGTTATGCCGTGGTTACCGATCGAGGTGTAGACTAGGAAGGAAGGAGAGAGGACTCCGAGATCGTCTTTGTTGTCAGCTATTATGTTCAGAATTATAGTAGGAATTGAAACTAAGAAGGAAATTATGAGGAATAGGAACATAGTGAATATCATGAGATAGAAGAACATTGGAACCCCTGTTCCAAATACTTTAAAGGTTTCGTAGTGAGTCCAGAATGTAAATCTTTTTAACTCTTTGGTATCTTCTACTAATAGCTTATGCTCGCAACAAGGACATTCTTTGCCTTCAGGAGTTAAAATTGGATCAGTTCTTGTCCGCAGGGAGGACTGTGCATTGCTCAGTTTGAGCAAGTCTTTAGAAGTCAAGAAAGCTTTAGAAACTTGGCCATGGAATTCTGCTATATCTCCGTATTAGGAGGAATACTATTTAGTATAAGCTCCTTTTCTTTCTCAAAGGCTGCCATTGCCTTTTTGACAGAACTTCTTTGGGAGGATGGGTTTTGATTTTCGAGATATTGTGGTACCAGGTGTTCGGAAGGGCACGAAGAGCTGCTAGGCTCAAATGGGACTTTTTGGTCTTCTTCGGAGGTGCTCATATTTTATTACTTTTATAATTTAACCTTTGACATTTTTAATGTAGGTGTATTAGCTGGGGTTTTGGGGTTTTGGGGTTTTGGGG